TGCTGGGATTTTTTTTTTGTTTTTTCCTTCTGGAAGCCACCACTAGAGATTTAAGGGTGATGAAATGAATAGCTGGGTACCAGCAAACATCTCAATGCCAGAAAAGACTTGCTGATACCACAGACACCAAGAGAATCAGACACAACTTCCTTTTACTGTGGTCTTGATGAAAATGGCATCAACCATACAGAGAGACCTGAGCCCAGTGTTCAACTGGTAGCCCATGGCTGGTCATGTGTTTCCATGAACTCTGATGACCATTTTTCTGTGGTCAAAGAACAAATATAATGATAATTTTATGCCTTTGTCCCCACCTGCAAGCTTGTTAAGGGGACTTCTCAACTTCTCAATACTTCTTAGCATGAAAGAATAAGCTGATACCTCAGTAAATAGTGCCATTTCTTCAAGCATTTGAAGTATTTTGAGCAGACCACAAAAGCCTTGAGTTTCCTGGATCATTTATAACCATCTCAAAGGGACCCTAATGCTTAATTTAACTTGTATGGGGGAGTTCTACCCTGATTGACCATATTCTCTCTGTAAAGTGGTTTTGCAAATCATGAACATGGGAATTTAATTACATGGACATGTTTTTCCAAGAAGGGCTTGTTCAGTTTTGGCCATAGATATGCCTTGGGTCAGAATAAGCTGCTCTATGAAAAAGAAGGTATATAAACTAGTTAGAAAGAGAAACTCCTGAGGTGAGGCTACAGTGTGAGCTACCACAAAACTCCACAATGCACACAGATTTAGTTCTAGTCACATAACTCTGGAGTTAGAATGAACCTCTTCTAATCTCTCATTTTGCAGATGAGGCCCAGAGAGGTCGACAGTATTGTCCAAAGTCATGGAGCTGGTAAATGGCAGAGCTAAGACCGAGCTCTATACCTTGACTTTAAAATGAAGCATTGCCTTTGCCTTGTGATGCTTCTCAAGCCAAATCTGTTCATTATGATTTACTCAATCAACATGAATTTATTGACTGATCCAGAGGTACCAGGCACTGAGATTTGGCTGTGAAATAACACTAAGTCGGTCCCTGTCCTCATGGAGCCTACATTCCAGTGGGTGAAATAGATGAACTAATAAATAAAATGATTACAAATTGGTGGGGCCGGCCCAGTGGCAGTGTGTTTAAGTTTGCGTACTCTGCTTCAGCAGCCCAGGGTTTGTGGGGTTGGAGCCCTGGTGCGGACCTACACACTGCTCATCAAGCCATGCTGAGGCAGTGTCCCACATACAAAATAGAGGAAGACTGGCACAGGTGTTAGCTCAGTCAGGGAAAATCTTCCTCAAGAAAAAAGAAGAAGATTGGCAACAGATGTTATCTCAGGGCTGATCTTCTTCACAAAAAAAAAAAAAGAAGAAGAAGATTACAAATTGGGAGATGTGCTATAAAGGAAACAATTGAGGGGCTGAGAGAAAATGACAGGAAGTATCCACTTTATATACAGCAATTATCTACCAAATGATAGCTCCCACTTTTTGATGGAAGGAGCATTTAGGCTCAGAGATCTGAAGGATGAAAAGAGATAGCCATGGAAGAGTTTGGAGGGGCATGAGAAGAAGATGCCAGGCATACAGAGGTGCCTTCAATGTTTTTGAGCATGAGGCCAGTCTAGACTGTTCTCTGATAAAGGACACATGATGGCCAAAGATGAACCATGCCTGACTCCCACTAATACCTGGTTCAACTCTTCATTTAACACAAGACAATGCTTCTTGTATTCATAAGCAGGGGTTTCCTCCTGTTATGTAGAACAAGACCTAGAGTCTTATCCATTGTCTCCTTCATTCCATCCATCTACCAAAAACAACATAAGGAAAGAGGCTGAGGTTGCTCAGGTTCCCACTCCTCATCCCCTCAAGGAAGCTTGACTCCTTCCTGATTCAATTGAGGACAGAGCTTCCTAGCAGGGGAAAAAAATGATAAAACAGAGGACTTAGGAAGTTATTCAAATAGTTCATGTGTGGATGAGAATTCCTGCCCTCATCAGTTATATTTATAGCATAATGAGCTTGATTCTCCATATTTTACATATCAAACAGATATGTAACAGAAAAATGATGCTCAGAAAGTACAGTTGCATTGGACCTGCTGATTTGATGACCTAGAAGGTCCTGATCACATCTGAATCCATTGACTGTCTTCAAATCTGTCCCACTAAAATATCCCAGAGCCACTAATGTTCATCTTTATTTTTTTTTAAATGTTTTATTCTCCCTTTTGGACATAAATAGAAATACTTTCTCAAAATTTCAGCCAACCCCCACTAGACTCCCTAGTATCAAACCTCACACATTATGATATAAATATTTTGTAGATAACGTGAATGTAAATCCACCCTATCTGTCTGACTTAGTAAATAACTTGACCTCTTGGATAATCTTGGATTTGACTGCTGCAGCCTGTCTGAAGTCTGGTTGTTCTCCAGCCAGTTGATTCAGCTGGAGTGGTACTAATGAAGCCGGAGCTACAGATTCAGTTCCCCTGGGGACCAATTAGCTTCACACAGAGAAAAACTTCTTCCAAATTTCCTTCATAACCCCAGCCATCTATTTTGGAAGTGCACTCACTGGGGAAGGAAGGGTATTCTAATTCACTCTCCCCAAATCTACAGAATCCCTCTTCTTCTCGACAAAGTTTCTTGCAAGAGAGGTTTAGACTCATTTATTCAGCCTCCTTATTTCAGAGTTACCTTTTAAATGTCTAGATTCCTCTCTCCTCCCAAGACTCCATTGAAATAATTCTTGCTAAAACTACCAACAATCTGCTAACAGCCCTGAATCATGACCATTCAGGGCCAATCCATTTCTCCAGGGAGGTAAAACAATGGCAAACAGTCCCACTCATGGAAGATAAATGAGTCCTAGTGGATGCTGTGCTTCCAGATCCTTCCCCAGCTGCTGGGCGGTTGGAGGGTGAAGGCTCTCAGCTGAGTTGCTCTTTGGGAATCCATGTCAGCTGAAGGAAGCTGTGTCTCCCAAAGTCTTGTGCCTTTCTGAGGATAGCCAAAATCCAATGACTGGTTGGTGACAGAGTGAGTATAAAGATTCATCCCTCTTACCTTAAATCAAGGGGACCTGAGGGGCCATCCTTTTTCCCAAGCTCCTTGTAGGATCGACTGAAGCCTTTGTTGCAACTGCTGTAATATAACACCATCCATTGATGAAGACTACATTGGACTCTTTCCACCATGGAAGGGACAATGATTGATTCTGACAGACATATAAACACATTTTGGAGGGTCTGGGTTTCCCTTTCCTTCCCAGAGGGCCTCAGCCAGCAACACTATCCAAGGGCTTACAAAGCATCGGATCCACTGACATGGATCTTACATAACATCCTATTGGACCAAAGAACCCACTTTACAGCAAAGAGGCGTGGCAGCAGTCGCCTGACCAGGGATCTACTGGTCCCATTACTTATTGCACCACCCAGAAGCTGCTGGCCTGATAGAGCAGTGGAATGGACTTTTGAAGGTGCAATTAAGGTACCAGATTGGAGATGATACCCTGCAAGCGTGCCCCCCTCTGCTCCCCAGGATTCAGCATATACTCTAAATCAGTCAACATTATATGGTGTTGGGTCCACGGAATGTAGAATACACGTATCTAGAACCAAGGGATGGAAGTAGGAGAGGTCCCATCCACCATCGCCCAGTGATGTGCTTTTGATCCCAATAACTGTAGTTTCTATGAATTTCAATGTCCTCGTTCCTGGAGTGGAAATACTTGCATCAAGTGTCAAAGCAAAAGTCTCATTAAACTTGAAGCTGCTGGGCTATGCCCGGTCACTACAGTCTTCTCATGCCAGGAGACAAGAAGGCAAAGCAAGTTGTCTCCACCCTAATAGGAGTGATTGATTCTGATCATCGGGTGGAAGTAAGGCTGTTGTTACACAACAGGGAGAGGGAAGGCTATGTTTGGCACCCAGGAAACCCACTTGAGCTTCTCTTGGTACTCCCTTGTCCAATTTTGATAGAGAGTGGATAAATGTAGCAGCCTCAGGCTGAGAAGGGTTTATTGACCAGTGTTCAGACTCCTCAGGGTTGAGGTTCTGGGTTATCCCACCAAGGAAACCACCTAAACCAGCAGAAGTGACAGCTGAGGCTGAGATAAATCCAGAATGGGCAGATCAGTCGCAGCTTTGAGACCAGCTACAGTGGTGGAGCCTGTAGTTCATCCTACTAACCTTTTTCTTATAAGTTTACCCAGGGAAAGAGCTAAACCAGAATCCTAGGGTGTGGTTCCCAGAAAGTATGATATGAAAAAATTGGATCCAAGCAGTGTAAAGGGTAGACAGTAGTACATGTTTCAGCGTACCACCCAGATCCCTCCTCTCAATTAAAGCACCCATTCCCCCTGTTGCTGGGAGTGTTGACAGCAGACTTGCACACGAGTTTCCCTGCAGAAATTGCCCTACATTAAGTAGAGCCACCTCACACAACGTCATGCTTTCTTCTCACTAGCAGCGCATATCCAATGACTGGACAATCCTGGGAGGGTATAGAAACCAACCTCTTTGCATCAAAGCAGGACAACTCTGAAGGGCCATTCCAGTTTCTGAGCTTCTCACAGAATAGGATGAGACCTTTGCAACCGTATCATAGTCCATCTCCTCCCTCTGACCAAACCTGTTTTCATCAATCCTCCATGATTATTGATATTAGTAACACTCTCCAGTAAACTTTCTACACACCACTCTGCACCTCATCATCTGTTTCCTGGGGAATCTAAGACAGGAGCCTTAATGTAGGAAGAAGGTATTACATAGCATTTAAGGGCATGGATTTTGAAGTCCCACAGAGCTAGTTCGAATCCCAGCTTTCCATGTACCACCAGCTGTGAACTCTTAAGCAAGATACTGACTGGGGCTGGCCCCGTGGCTTAGCGGTTAAGTGCGCACGCGCTCCACTGCTGGCGGCCCAGGTTCGGATCCCGGGCGCGCACCAACGCACTGCTCGTCGGGCCATGCTGAGGCAGCATCCCACATGCAGCAACTAGAAGAATGTGCAACTATAACGTACAATGATCTACTGGGGCTTTGGGGAAAAAGAGGAGGAGGATTGGCAATGGATGTTAGCTCAGGGCCGGTCTTCCTCAGCAAAACGTGGAGGATTAGCATGGATGTTAGCTCAGGGCTGATCTTCCTCACAAAAAAAAAAAAAAAAAAGATGCTGACCTTCTCTGAGCTTCTGTTTCTGCATCTGTAAAATGATAATAATGTGGCACTCAAATGGCTATTGTTGATGAGTAAATTAGATATGATAAAGTTCTTTGCAAAATGTTTGGCATCATAAGTACTCAATAAATGGAAGCACATATATTTAAGTGTGTCTTCTGTTGGGTTCCTCCTGAAGTGGACCCTGAGCCAAGTATTGGGGTGCAGGTGGCTTATTGAGGAGGTGATCCCAGGAAGCACTCACACGAGAGAAGGAAGTGTGATGGAGAAAGGAAGGAAGTCAACACTGGGTATGCTAATGAGAAAGTTACTGCTGTGGGCAGTTAGGACTCAGTCCCACCAGAGACCTCCGAAAGACTGGGTAGAACCCCTCATCAGACAGGTAAGGAAGCTGGAGTGTTTACCCCCAAGTCATATCCATCATCAGTTGAAAGCTTTTCCCCGGAGCATTAATTCCTTGGTATTTTCAGTCTGCCTTACCTGCTCTTGGACCAAACACAATCCAGCAACTAGAGAAAACCCTTAGGCAGAGAATGAGAGGCGCTTGCAAGTAGGAGCCATTGGTGTGCTGGAATGGCGACTGCGTGGGGATATGGACAGGGCAATGACAGCATTTGCTGCGGCACGTGTTTGCGCATATAATACAACACCAGCAATCTGTTACACATTTCCACTTTATTCATACACTTTCCTTTTCTCTTGATTCTCTCGCTTTTATATTTTGGGGACAGTAGTGGGTTGAATGGTGTCCCCCCAAAACATGTCCACATCCTAACCCCTGGAAGCTGTGAATGTGACCTTACTCAGAGAAAGGGTCTTTGCAGATGTAATGAAGAATCTTGAGATAAGATCAGCCAAAATCCAATGACAAGTGTCCTTATAAGAAAGAGGCAGGGTTTTGAGGTAGAGGAAGAAGAGGCAATGTGACAACAGGGTCAAAGATTAGAGTTATGCTGGAGCATCATCAGAGCCACCAGAGGATGGAAGAGGCTAGGAAGGACCCTCTCTGAAAAACTGGAGGGGGCGCTGCCCTCCTGACACCTTGGTTTTGGGCTTCTGGCCTCTGGAACTATGCAAGAATCAATTTCTGCTGTTTCAAGCCACTCAGTTTGAGGTAATTTGTTACAGCAGGCCTAGGAAATGAACAGGGAGTTCCCATGAATTTCTTTCTGACCCTTTTTCAGAGAATGCCAGCAGCCATTATAGTAATTTAGCTTTTTACTAAAGAAGAGAGAGGCTTACACACAGACCGGTCTTCCAGACATCACCAAATTCTTGCTTGGAGGACCTACACTGACTGTATTTCCCAGGCTGGCACAGGTGCTCAGGCCTTAAGACCTAGGTTCTGGTCCCCTCTAGCCCTCTGCCTCCAGACTACAAGCATAACCCCTCTCTGAGGTTCTCCGGCCATTTCAGAGAAGCCACAGGACATGCAATCTCGTCTGTACTCACACAGGGAGCCTGAAAAAATGAGTTAAATTCAAGCTAATTGATGAAGCTGATTACTCTATTAGAAACAATTCAAAATGCTTTCTGCAAATTAATGCACAAGTTGGATATTTTTTCCACAAACATTTATGAGCTTCTCTGGTGTGCCAGGAATTTTTCTGGGTGCTAACTTCTCAGAGGCAGGAATCCCTGAGGAAAAATAATGGTTGTTTTTTAAATGCACATGTATTGAGGTCCACATTCCTACTCCAGACAAGGGCTGTATGTGTGATGTGTCAGGGTAGAGAAGAACCACCTTGACCCTGTTCAGACTTCTGGCCCTCTCACCCTTTACTTGGGGACTGATGCTCATCCTGCAATCCATTTGGTTCTGAATGCACTGCCTGATGTGCCTGATGTGCTAGGGGAGACTGTCCCCAGGGGACATTGGATGCAGAGGCTGCAATGCCCCACAGAGCTCCATTCACATTTTAGAGAACATCTGCAGGTTTGAAAGAGGAAGAAAACATGATGCTTCACACTCATCCTTCCCGGACCAGTTAGTCCAACCTCCTCCCAAATGCTTCCCAGACATTTCTGGCCCAAGTAATCCATCCACCTATGGTGCTCTGGGCTGAACCACCCATGCTGACCCAATCATTTATATTGTTACTTACCTGTTTTGTTAAGTGTTATCTTCCCCAGATAGTGGATGAGCACCTGGAAAGCAGGAACAGGATCCTAACATGGTCCTAGATCAGTAAATCTAGTAGGTATTCAATAATTTGTTTGAATGAGTATTGAATGAAATTCATTCAACAGTTGAAAAAAGTAAATATATCTTGACATTTCTCTGCTCAAAGCTTCCCATTGGCATCCCATCACACTCAAAGGAAAAGCCCAAGTCCTTACAAAGGCTCACAGACCCTCTATATTCCAACCATCTACCACCTCTAGGACCTCATCTCCTATCAGTCTTCCCCTTGCTCACATCCCTGGCCTTCTTGTTGTTCCTTGAACACAGCAAGCTTACACTTCCTCAAGACCCGGCAAGGGTTGCCAGATTCAGCAAATAAACGAACAGCATGTCCAGCTCAAGTTGAATTTTAGATAAATGATTTTTTTTAGTATAACTATGTGCCATGCAACATGTGGGTTATACTTATACAGTCATGCGTCACTTAATGATGGGGATACGTACTGAGAAATGTGTCATTAGGCGATTCTGTCATTGTGCGAACATCACAGAGGGAACCTTCACAAACCTAGATGGTATAGCCTACTACACACCCAGGCTATACAGTACTAACCTAATGGGACCACTGTCTTATATGCGGTCCGTCGTTGACCAAAACATCATTATGTGGCACACAACTATACTAAAAAATATTTGTTTTGGGGGCTGGCCCTGTGGCATAGTGGTTGGGTTCGCGTGCTCCACTTTGGTGGCCCAGGTTCACAGGTTTGGATCCCAGGCGCGGACCTGCACCACTCCTCAAGCCACGCTGTGGAGGCAACCCACACACAAGGTGGAGGAGGATTGGCATGGATGTTGGCTCAGGGCCAATCGTCCTCATCCTAAAAAAAAAAAATTGTTTTTTATCTGAAATTCAACTTGAACTGGGCGTCCTGTATTTTATCTGGCAACACTATGTGCTGATCCCTCTGCACAAACCACTCTTTCTCTAGGTGTCTACATGGCTCAATCCCTCACTTCCCTCAGGCATCAGCTCATTAGAGAGGCCTGCCCTTAGCACTCTGTCTAAAAGAGCACACTACCATCATCAACTCTATCCCTCTCTATCCCCCTTTCTGGACTAATTCCTCTCATAATTCCTATATTGATAGAGTATATTTTTACGGGCTATTGTCCAAAACTTCCCCCACTGGCACATCAACCCCATATGAGCAGGGACTTGTTTCATTTACTGACATATTTCTCATTCCCGTGACAGAGTCTGGTACAGGGTAGGCCCTTAGTAACTACTTCTTGAATAAATAAATTTGAATGGTTTATAATTTGCTTTAAATTGTTGGTTTCTATAGAGGCTATTTGCAGTAAATATCCAAGTTTTAAATTTTAATATCTCCCTCCTTCAAGAGTAATACTCCCTCTCACCCTCCCCTTCACCCATCATGACAGACCCTCTCGATAAGAAAACATCTCAAACCAGAAGGGAATTTACCTCGACTCGGGCTTTTTCAGTTCAATCTTTTCCCTCCTTTGTTCTATGCTGAGTGCCAGCTTGGAGACATAGATGTATTTATTTAGAAGTCACAGAAAAACATTTAAGTTCTCGTCCTTTAGTTGCAGAAAAGTACCACATTAGAAGTCCCACTGATACTTGAATCAGAGGACTTGTTTGACCTTGAGTTTTCCCTGAAATGGGGTGTGGGCCAATTGATCCATAATTGACAATCTGAGGAAGGCAAAAATGAACACTCGTAATTGCCGGGATGACCCGTGCTATTCCATCCCTAGTTCCACTTTTGTATTTGTTCCTTGCCCAGGGATAGGGAGAGAAATTGCCTTCTGCTTTATTATAGAGTTCAGAAAATTGTAGCTGTTGGACAAGTTGCCAGGTGAGGCATACTGTTCTCGTTCCTACTTCTCGAGCACCTGAAGGACGAGGCATTGTTTGTCAGCATCTACTAGGCAACACTGCGGTGTCTGTGAAATTGACAACAAGGAAAGGCCATCTCAGCTCACCCATCTAGTATCCAACAGGACAACTGTTGCTTTCTGAATATTTGCCCAAAGCAGATATTTGAGCCAGTAGAGCACTGGTCAGTCTAGATGAAATGGGGCTCAGAAGAACCTACAGCTCTCCAAAGCCCCAAGAGTGAAGAGTCTCTGTGACTTTCTCTGCCCCTACTACCGCCACCACATTAGCCCAGTGCAGTCACCATGTGCCTGACTCCCTACTGACCGACACTTGATTCCAGGCTCTGTCTCAGGAATCTGGAGGTCCCTGCCAGGCACTAATATTCATGATTTCTTTCATTGTTCAAAAATTGTTAGTGATGCTCTAGCTTCTGCCATCTAAGTCTTCTGCCTGGCTTTCAAACCCTCCATCATCTACTTTCTCCCTACCTGATCGACCGCCACCCCCACCCCCATGTCTCTAATTTCAACCTTCTTTTCTGGTCTACAGCCACCGGCAGGCATTCTTGCAGTGTTTCCTTTGCCATCTCTATACCCTGAAACTTGCCTCACCTTCAACATCCACTTCAGCCTTATCAATCTCTCCTTGAAGGCCCTAAAACTCCAAATTTAGCATTTGATTATACACTTGCTGCATTTTTAAGTTTTCTGTTGTCTTTTCTCTCCAACTATATGTAAATGCCTTGAGGTCTGGAATAACAAGATGGAAAATAAAAACTACATCTGATGATCA